CGCGGCAACTAGACACAACTCGTTGATCACTATCGTGAAGTGTGAGACATAATTTCAGCATTTTTCATAAAATCTAGAGGAAATCTCACTCAAAAACACACGGTGGCGAACGAATGATACATGACAAGGACAAAATGGACGAGAAAGCGATCCATAACAGGACCCACGTCAGCGACGGAGAAGTGATCGCGCTCGAGACCACAGGTTAGCGCGCCTCTCGAGACAGCAAATAAAGCCAGGATAGCCATTAATAAGCAACGAGATGGAGGCAGCGACGCTCATTGGTTAACCAGAGCTTATAGAGGAGCGGCCGGTGCTCGGCCAAAGAGGAGAGAGAGAGATGACGGTTCCAGCAGCAGCCGAGAAGGTAATTCAGTTTACCACCGAAAGACAAATAATAAAACAACCGAGATTAAGAGCGGCCAAAAACCTTACAAAAAATAGACCTAACGTACACCTGAGACACAATCAAGCAGGTACACACATCGGTTTCTTTATTAAACGAAGGCAAGTAGGTAGGCCTAGCGATACACAAACATCTTCCATGGACACTTTGCGGTCATTACTTGGCGTTTAAAGGAGATCTCGCATTACTGAATATCTTAGGAAATGATTTGTGAAAACTTCTTCACTTGACTAAAGAGTTAGAAATTTTCAAATTGACCCACAACTGTGCACAGTGAGAAAGCATCTTAAAATATTTCTGCCAATTAAATTGAAATGAACTTTAAAATGTATATCGTAAAGATTCAATGGCACTTTACGGCGAAATTGAAACTCTCGTAGCGAACAGTAGTAACTTTATACATTGTAGAAACCTCACGTTTTGAACAGTTATTTTTCTGAGCGAAGTTCATAGCTTTGATATTTATTTAAATAGCGACCGAAAGTACCAGTAAAATAATCCAGGAAGATAATTTCCTGGATAAGCGGATAGCAATATGAGTCTGAGTAACAACATTCCGGATTCAGAACGGATAACAAAATAAGTTTTTTTTTTTTTTAATAAGGCCTCCCACACTCACCATTCCAACAAAAAGGAATTAATTTTATTAATTAAAAACAGGGAATGGTTTCATGTCAATGATCAATGAAATAAGTCTTGAATCCAAGAAGTGTTACTTTCTATATATATATATGCTTAATAGTGTCTTGATTGTTAAACAAACAAAACACATCAAATATCAAAACAAATCTTTACCATTATACATTGATTGGATACACTGATTCAGGTGAATGTAAAATTAGAATTACTCGGAATTAGATATAGGGCTATGAGACCGATGAATAAGAGTAAAAATAATAATCAGATGCAATCGCAAAGTCATAGCTTAAATTTTCAAAGCTATCCAATCACAACATGACTATTCAGATAATAGAGGAGCAGACAAAGCAAACACTACACAAATGATTACAAGCATTAATCGTGTTCGTTTTCGCAAGGAAGATATTTAAAAAAATTTGTTGCTTGCGGTATATGCATGCACGTACAACATTTTTCATCACCTGCTGATTTTTCACATCCCGCTCTCACGAACTGCTATACCAGTGCTCAAATTTTCAACACTGATCGCGATAATATAGATATGTTTAGCGACACAACACATCCTGTAAAGCTCACACCTATACAGCCACTCAGGTAGCTGGGAACTGAAATATTCAGGAGTGGAAGTATCTCCGCCCCAGATAGTCACGTGTTGGGATACAGATCTCGACGCACTTCCTCATCCAAACGGAAAACAAACACTGATGAGAAAGACGCACGGAAAGCTGCGGCTGTCAAAGGAAATGATGGCGGACATTTTTCACGCACTCTCGCTTCCGAGTAATAATTCGACGAATCAAAAAATTACAGAGACCACGATTTATCTCACCTAAAAATACAATTCTCGTCCAAAAGGTACCTGGTACGTAGTACTACATTACAATAAATAACAGCATTTGGAACGGTGTCCTGATTATCGTCCAACAAGTGACTGCTCTTGCGGAGATGTTATCCTACAATCACTGACTTCATCTTAAGATGGTATAGCTCAGACGGTCAGGCGCATTATATCAACAACAAATGTCGCTGCGCGTGCTACAAGTCCGAAGTTCTGAAGTTAGATCTGTCACAAAAAACATGACGGGTTGTGCAGCAGAGACCAAATGAACTGTCAGCAGGAAATGACGGGTTTACTCACGCGTTCCTAGCCTCGCATGGTCGTGCCGTATGTTGACAGCTTGTCTGATCAAGTGAAATGATGCATTCATTTGCATTGAATAGCATGGCCCGTGAGCATGCATGCACCCACCACAACGACCGCGTGCTGCTTGTATCGACACGGGAAACCTTGGTGCCGGGTTACCGGACTCCCAAAGTCTATACAGTCACACTTAAGCTCGGAGCTTTAAAAATTTGTGGCGAACTTAAATCTATGAATTATCGAACACCTAAGAGATTTCTCTAAATATCAATGAATTAATTAGCGGATTAAAGTTATGTCCTCGGCAGGATATGTCGTGGTATTTTAGGTAGGGCCATGACTATAAACCAGGAAATGCCTCAGCATGTGATGAGCATCTGGAATACTTAACAACAAAACACGCCCCATATCTGACTGCTTCATCTCGGTGACCTCAGAACAAAGAAATGTGACATTTGGTTAACGGGCATCAAGTGCGTGCTGTGATCATTGGTAATGATGACTACGTCTGCGACACCATCAAAGCTAAGTCTGCGACACCTTACAAGCGTAAATAACACTCAAGTGACTCCACATCGTGAAGTTATTACTGTGATCGGACCGGAATAATAGAAATAAATCCAGTGAGATCACAGGATCAAAGTCGTTTAAGGAATGTCACATACTAATTGATACTAATATATGCAGCATGCTAATTGATACAAAAATATACGTGACAACGAATCATGTGACCAATGCACATAAAAAGCCAAAACAAACAATTCTCAGGTCAACACATGAATCGAGGAATGTGATCTAAATAACAGTAGATCTTAAGGTTCCCAAGCCAACTTTCAAATCAGGTTACAGTATCAAAAATGTAACAAAATTTGATTATTTTCTTGTGGCCAGCTAACAAGGTTTCTGAAACCACAAACACAAAAATATGAAATAATATTAAGGTCTATAATCTATATATTCAGGTATTCGCAGACTCGAGGTCGCTCGCTGACCGTACGCGCCGTCAGCAGCAAAAGAAAAACGCGGTGGGAGAAAAACTCGTGCGCTTCGTTAGGGCTTTCGTATAACTCGGCGCGAGCAGCTGACAAAAACACATCGCAAGAAAAAATGAGCATCGCGCAAGTTGCTGCTGCTGCTGCTGCTGCCCGCTCTTCTTCCTTCACCGCGTCGCTCCAGGGGGAAAAAATGCGATGCAATCAAGTTGGCCAAAGGAAAAGTTGTTGTTAGGAGAGAAAGAGCACAGCAAGTTCCCTGAAAATGGGATCAGCGCTGAGAGCATTAGGCAGAAGAACAGACGTGCCAGCCCAAAGTGCGAGTTATAACGAGATCAGCAGCAGCGCTCAATTAAACTTTAAAACAAGTAATTCTGTACAAATCCGAGCAGTTAAGACTATTTAGCGCCAGAACTATGCAATGTTTCAGATTATTTAAAGCGGAAACTATGCAATGTTTAAAACTATTTAGCGCCGGAAACTATGCAATATTTAAAACGAATCAGCTGGACTTTTTTTCAACAGTGGACGGGGCTAAGGATGTGTCAATACCAGTTCAAGCATTTGCCACGAGTATGAATGCGAACACGTAACGGTCTAAACAGTAGAACTAACGCTCGTAGTAGTGGCTAATAAAGCCAAATAAAAGAGTTGAGGTAAAAGGTCAAGTCCAGCGGCAAAGTCAAGAGGTTCTGAACAAAAGTATTGTTAATCAGTGGTCAAGCACTCTACGGATTGGACAGTGCATAGTTCTGCTTCGACTTCGGCAATTTGCAGCCATAGTTAGAGACAGCTGAGCTATTATACGATATTTTCGAGGTATTGAAATAGTGATCGAGTCTCTTAGTTGCCTCAGGTCCGCGAGTATCGTGAGGATGGTAAGTTAAGATGTAACGCATGCTTTCAGTGAGGACAGCATCATATATGGTGAGTAGTAAGTTGGTGGAGGCTCTATATATAGAGCACAGTTGTTAAGAGAGGAAAAAATTAAATGGCTAATTTTAGATGAGACTGCGAATGAACCTTAAACTGCGATTTTGTAAAGAAAGCAAGAAATAAGCCCAAAAATTTAGATTATCCTTCGGAACAAAATATTGGCTGATAGCCATCGCACGACACTCAATCAAGCAAATAAAGTGGTTGATCATAAAAATGACGATCATGAAATTCATCACAAAGTGATATACGAAATAAAATTCATGCTAACCAAATATATAAAGTAAAAGAGAACAATTCCTAAATTATTAATGATTATATTTCAGAGACTAGCTCAATCGTCCGTTAAGTAAAATTAATACTAGACTTATAAATTGTAATAGAGAAAATACAAATAAATTGTAGAGACTAAATATATGAAGAAAATAAGAATATGAAGTAGAAATGCAGAAAGGAAGCTGCAATCAAACATTTTTATTAACGATGTGAAACCGATACGAGCTGAAAAAGTTGTCGCATAAGGTCGCATGAACCGAAAGTGGAAGCTGTTAAATCTCAATTGATTATTACAGCATGGAACTGACAATCGTGGATGTGTACGGCTGACAGAGGTGGATGCGCCAATAGACTGCCAATACGATGACTCCGGACACGTGCTCATACACTCAAGTGTAGAAGTGACATGATACGTCAGTGCGTGATTAAGACGTAAGTAGGAAAATTATTATAAAGAACAAATTTCCAACGGCTCAATGAGAAAGAAAGACTATACGGGTACAATTATCATCAATTAAGATAGATAAACAAGAAATTTCTTCTTTTTTTTACATCAGGTTAGAAACATTAACCATTAAAAAAACAGCGTGTACATCCTTGTAATACTCACATTGCAGACGCTGTCAATGTTGCAGGTTGGAATGATGTGGCGGTAAACGTCTCACCAACATGATCGTTACATTACAATCTGAAACAAAAACCGCACTCGTTATCATTTGAAAGATATCAGTAATCGAGTAGCTAATAATAAGCAATTGCAAGTAATTACCTGGTAGCGAGTGATTAATATCAGAAAACAACATAGATATGAAGCAATAAACATGAAGCTGCCATTTGGTATATGTGTACAGGGTATAAAGCTGATATATTAACGAGTAAGAATAAGACAGCCAGCAAGCAATATCTGCCTGCGTTCCGGTGAACAGATGAAAAAATTACGGACCGAATGAGAGAGGATGAACGTGTGTAATGTTGGCGCGAGGACGAGAATAGGAGCGTGCACGATGGAGTGAGTGTAAGCAATGAGGGAGCGTCGAGGGAAGCAGCTGTAATTGCAATGCAAATGAGGGACGCGCGCGAGGGGAACGAAGAAGGCGATACGAGGGGGAACAGCTTCACGGCATTGCGGCGACACGACACAACAACAACACTGAGAAGCACGGCACACATCAAGCGGATTGTTCCATAACGTGCAGATTATTACTTATCGCGAGCACGGTAAATATCCCGCAGCACGTTATTCAGTAAGTAGCACATTTAAACATCGCGTAGCATTTTTTGGAATTGAGAATGACATTAAATATCGCGCAGAACATTATGTACTGAGCAGTACGTTACGAACCGTGTAACGCGTTACATACCAAACCACCCGTTGCATATTGAGCGCAAGGAGCACATTACATATCGCACAAAACAAAGTTTATCGTGCAACACGCTACTGACCGTGAATCTCGTTACTAATAATGCAGTACGTAAGCACAGAAAAGCACGTGTTAGGTACCGAGTATGTGATCAGTGCGGTGTTTCTCGTTACTGCATGTTTAACACGATGAATAATTTGCCCACTGATAACTGGAAAATAACGAGCGACGTTTTACAAATGCACACAACGGCCCACGTTCGTACGTATATAGATGCATTTCACTTCTATATAGCGTTGGTAGCCGGAGTTGATCAGACAGTCAACAAGGAACAAAAAATGGTGTGCCAGTATCTCACACGTTGCCGTTAGCCAAACCAGTCGTTTACATGAGTACTTCTCAAAAGTATAACTGTCAACAATCCAATATTTATTAAAGTTATCAACGCCGAATGACCTATCGTTGTATTTTCCGCTCTATAACACGCTGTAGGCGACGTTATTTACGGAAACAACTCAGTACGTTCTAAAGTTTTAACGCCGTTTGATACAGGGTGACGCACGGAAACTTCCTGATTTGAAAGCTCAATAAAAAAAGAAATAGTAAAGATATCACTACAATATAAATTTTATTGAAAAAGGCACTACAGGAATTTTTTTTCAATTAGTTTTGAAGATGCCGTTGGGCCAATGACAGCCCCAAGTTTCGTTCAATTCGCTGAAGCATATTGATGGGTATCTTAGCGATGGCTTAGCGTATGTTGTTCTTCAAATGAGGTATGGTCCTTGGACAGTCATTATTAACAATTGATAGACAATACCAGCAGAAAAATTCACACGGAGCTAAATTGGGGGATCGGGCCGGCCAAAAAAAAGTCACCTCTCAAGGAGATGAGGCGCGCTGCAAAATGTTGTTTCAGACGGAGACAATTCTGCAAAACGGCCATTATAGAAGCACGCTTCGACAGCAAACGTACGCTGCTCACTTGTCCAATGCATAGTGGCAGCTGACGATGCGGGACACAAAACTTCACAAAGTTTCCGTGAATAACCCTGTAGAACTATATAGAAAGAGCCCCAAACCCCTCACGCGATAAAATTTATGGTCATTCAATAAAAATAATATTATTATGTTCATAAAAAGTATAGAATTGCAACTCAACGTTGACTTCAATGGCTTGTAAATTATGCCCACTTCACAAGAAATATTGCCAGATAGTCGAGAATTCAAATCAGTGAATGTTATAAAACAGATATAATTTTCAATTACTCGCGTCCGGGTTGCGATAAAAACAGTTACGCTAAATTATCACTGTTGGCTTAAAAAATATAACTCAGTACTCACTGCAGTGAGTGACAGAGAGCGCATTTTCTCGTCGACGAAAACGTAAAGTCACAGACGGACGGACGAACGAACGGACGGACGGACGGACGGACATGGCGAGCACAATAGTGCACTTTTTCCATAAATGAGAAAATGCGCTACAAATATTCAAAAAGTGTAGTGCGAGCACTCTCACTAATTTAACGAACAGGTTGTGTCAATGAACATAGAAGACGAGCGTTCAGCATATTATGTCAATGAACATAGAAGACGAGCGTTCAGCATATTGTGTCAATGAACATAGAAGACGAGCGTTCAGCATATTGTGTCAATGAACATAGAAGACGAGCGTTCAGCATATTATGTCAATGAACATAGAAGACGAGCGTTCAGCATATTGTGTCAATGAACATAGAAGACGAGCGTTCAGCATATTGTGTCAATGAACATAGAAGACGAGCGTTCAGCATATTGTGTCAATGAACATAGAAGACGAGTGTTCAGCATATTGACATAATAGACGTTGATGCGACAGTCCACATACGAGTATGCAGTACAGTTCTCACAGATGTCGTACAGTGCAGATTATTCCTTGGCCCGCACTTGTGTCCAGCTAGACGAGAAAACAAACACACCACTCTTACTTCTTCAGTACACATTCGTACACAAAGAAACAATGCAATGACAGCACTGACATAACATAGAATATAGTATTGTGAAATGACAACTGGGAAATCGATGTTGTTGATTGTATTTTCTGTTTCATTTTATTAATGATTTTGGTTATCATACGGATATTTTAGGGGAGTTCTAGATCATTTCGTTAGCCTCATTTTAGCACGTTTTCTCATTTATGGATAGAAGGCGCTATTGTGCTCGCCATGTCCGTCTGTCCGTCCGTCCGTGACCTCAAATTTTCGTCGACGAGAAAATGCGCTCTCTGTCACTCACTGCAGTGAGTACTGAGTTACATATTTTTTTTACAAAGAGGATGTCGTCCGGTTGAAAATCGAAAATAATGGCTCCCATCGACATCTATTACTTTGAAAATAATATATCATTTTAAATCATACTATAAATTCCGACTTGTAATTAGAAAAAAGATGAATTTCAAAGGCAAATGTTAACGTTAACATAATATACATTTCATTTTTCAACACCACTACGTTATTACGGTATGTTATCTTTAGTATGAATGTTATAATGTGATTGAAGTGGCCAGTTCGCCCGCTTCAATAAAGTGAGACGATTCACTCGTTATTAATCGACTATCTACAAGACAGACTTGTACACATCACTTTGTACACATATTGTTTATTGTTGTTTATTCATACATAGTAGCACACAACGCAATATAATAGAAAGGAACACGAAACGAAATAGTAAAAGCTTCCCAGTGTATGCCCATAAGCTAAAAAAAAAGTTTCGCAGGCAACAAGGTGATCTTTCAACCCCATTCAAATGATAATATGATAATGATAAGAACGACAGAAAGTTTACAATAAATATACACATCCATTACAAAAACAGCAAGAAAATTTATAATAGCATGGCACTTAAAGCAAGCAAATCCAATGCAAAAGCAGCAATAAACTGGAACTAGGATTTAATTGAAATGGTAATATACGTCTAAAAATTACTTTTTAAATAACACTTCTAAAGAATCCAGTTTTTCCAACGTTACAGATGTACAATGAATTTCTAATTTATTTTCGAATATTAAAAAAATTAAATTTTCAATTTTTTTAATACCCTATATAAAATTTTATTCAAATTATTTATTTTGTCAATTGATTCATGCATTGCCTCCAACTTCACACAAGTGTGCAAAATTTCAGATAAATTGGACAGGTATAAGTGTGTCAAATATCAGTTATTAGATTTGTAGCTGACAAAATTATTTTTTCAATTTTTTAATATTGAAAAAAAAAATTATTTTTAGAATCATTTATTTTGTCACTTAATTCTTGCATTGTCTCCAACTTTACGCAAGTGAGCAAAATTTCAGATCGATAAGTAGAAGTGTGTTAAATTTTGATTATAAGATTTGTAGCAGACAGACAGACAGACAAACAAACAAGAAGTGAAGTTAAAGAGAAGTGTTGTAAAAATAAGTATAACACGAGCACGTTTCAATGAGTCAGGATACAGTAATGAGCGCTAAAACTGGAACCACAGTGTCAGCTGCAAGAGACAATATTCTGGGCTGAATTTCATCGACCTGAAGTCGTTAGCTCTAGCAAGCGACTATCTCAAGATATTTTTTATTTCAAGTTCATAAATGAATTCAGTTTCTGCGTCAATACCAGAAATTAGCTTGTTTATAGACAATTCAATTCGTTTGATCGCAACACTATTTACAAGCAAGGTCTTAACAATTTTCCATAAAACCTTTGCACTTTTCGACATCCGCCAAATTTAGCCGAGTAGTATGGCTTCTTAACTGTCCCGTGGTCGGTGACTGGGGATATGACGGCGACTAAGCTGATTGTTTTATGCAACGAGGAGCAAGCCGATCGTTACCAAGTTATCTGAGCAGATCTTGACATTATTATCTTCAGCTGATCAAACTTGTACACTCGTTTTGAACGTCATTGTCTTTCATACTGGTCAGCAAGTCTAGAATGACCTACTGCGCCTCTCTTGGCTATGTGAATAAGCGTCAGAAAATTGGATTGATTTTCAGTTGAATTCTTGTGTGCACTGTAATTAATGCCGTTTAAAAGCGGTCAAACGTTTATTTTTTAAATGAAACGATTATATATAAGTCATATAATTATTATATTTATAACATTCAATATATTTAATAATAATTAGAATTGAATTAGAATGAATAAGGTAATTAGAATAAATAGGTCATATTCTTAAATTAGTGGTAAACTTATTGCTCGTAGCACTGATACGACCTTTTAGGCTTTTACCGAGGCCAAAAGGGTCTCGGTTAACCAATACATGTCTCAAGTGGTTCAATACATTTCATAAGTTCAAAAGTTTTTAGACAAAG